CAAACTTTACAATGTGACAGCCTGGATGGGTAGCTGCACAATCATACGTGAGCAGAGTAAACAGGAGGGGGCTCAACACACATCCCTGAGGGGAGCCAGTGCTGAGGGTTATGGTGGAGGAGGAGAAGTTGTGGATCCTCACTAACTGTGGTCTGTTTGTTAAGAAGTCTAGGACCCAGTTGCAAGTGGAGGGGCTTAGTCCTAGTGTGGATAGTTTGTCCATCAAGGTTTGGGGGATCATGGTGTTGAAGGCAGATGTGAAGTCCACAAAGAGCATACGGTACGGACGTAGGAGTCCTTCTGCTCCAGGTGGTTGAGCGCAGTGTGGACCACAGTGTCACGAACCAGGGTTTTGGATTCAAAATAGCTAGACACAGGAGTGCAAAAACAAGAACAGTTATTACTTATTATGCTGCTTGAATCTCAGGATCTAATTTCAGTTTTTCAGTAACAGGTCTTTGCAGGCTGGTGTTGTGAGAGCCACCTGTCAGATTTTAAAGAGATGAACTGGTGGGAAGGCAGCTGCAAAAGGAGGCCTTTAATGCTGTGAACAACGGGGCAATGCAGGTTTGTGGTCCAAAGGGCAAAGCAGGGGTTAAACACAGGGAGTCAGTGGTATAAGGGTAATCCAAAGGGTGATCCGTGAGTCGTGGTCATAGGCAGAAGAGGAGGTCGTTACCGAGGTCATATATGCAGGCAAATCCAAGAGGGGTAGGCAAGGCGAGGAGTCCAAAAACAGGTGAGGATACAAGACAAGGCAAAGCAAGGATACAAGATACTATGACTGAAGGCTTCACTATCAGGGACCATGAGTGGTGTAATAATCTGGCACAGGTGAGGAGTGAGAATGGAGCTTATAAAGGGTGCAGAGCAGGTGAACTAGATGAGTAGAAAAGGTAAGTGGGATCAGAGCTGATTGCTGTGATAGGCTGAGGGGGTGTGGTGAACTGTTAACTGACAGGAGCAGATGTGAGCAATGACAGGAGCTGAGGGATAAACAAAACATGAAGGAGAGGGACAGAAAACATGTCATGTCATGAAGGGGCAGGGAAGTGAGCAGATGGGGGGGCAGCGGGAGCTGCTGATCATGACACACAGAGGAGATGGCATCCTCTGTTGATCGACTCTCGTGGTATGCATACTGATGAGGGTACCCGTTGATGTTGATGGTTGTTTTGATGTGAGTCATGACCAGTTTTTCAAAGCATTTAGTGACTTTGGAGTGAGGGCCACTGGCCGATAGACACATGTAGTAGTACATATACGAGATATATGCATACAATTTTCACGAGTTCCTCATCTTTCTGACTGTGTAATGTCGTGCATTGAATTTTAACAGAAATGCGAACGAGAGACGTTATTATCTTTGACCCATCAAATGAATGCGGTCATTTATTTTCAGAATCAAAGTTAACATCAAACATTTACATTAATTTGGCAAAATATGAAAATAATAACAGACAAGTTTCACAAATAATGAGCTTCAATCACGCGGCGGTGATTGAGGACTTAGCTTCAGATATTTCTAAAATATCTGTACTGATTTTAAGAGAAAGCAGAGTTTAAGATGAAATGGAGATTTATCTTACAGAGAGATATGTGAGGGAATTAATCTGTTATGACCAGAACGTGCACGCTCCATCAGATCTCAGCTTGCTTCCGGTACACTTTAGTCGAAGATCGTTACCTGGTTGACGATGACATCAGCTCGGTATAGAATCCTTCAGACTCTTTCAGCGTCTCCGTTGAGAGCAGCTGAAATCCTTCGGGAGTCGTGCGTGGTGTTCAAACAGAAATTATAATCCCAAAACGTCTCTGGATCATCCTGAACGCGTCTGCATCCAAGAGCTCTAACTCCATCACTCTGTGCGCTCTCTAGTTGAACTCATTTCTGAGTACAGCAACACAGCAACCAACAAACTCCAGCAACTCAGCGTCTCAGCTTCTTGCAACTCCTTCAACTCCTTTATGAACTGGGAAGTTGCCACATTTTAAATGGGTCGACTTCCGGGTCATTTGAGAGCTTTTGATTGGTCGATGGACCAGGAATAGAGGTGTGGTTTATGATGTAAGATGTTATTAAAAGTCAAGGATTGTTTAGTAACAAACAGAAAGATTATTGTAGGACTTCAGACTTCGTGGAGTCTCACCCTTATTATCTTCTGAAAAAGTTTAAACATGACATTTTTCTTGGTAAACATTTTAGTTGACCGAAAACCGACCTTTAACATACTTACAAACTTGGCTCATTTCAGACAGAAAATCAAGAAAAGCATATTAACCTGATTTCTTCTTTGAATGAGGAATAAAAATCATTACTTACTGTTTATGTAAAATAAAAATGAGTAGTTCTCTTCAACCTGTAAACATTGAGTGAACTAACACAATTTGATTGTCAAACATTTGTAAAACAGTGATGATTATAAAAATTGTCTTTTCTGCTTGATTAATTCAAGAAAGAGAGTCACCAGATGGCTCAAACTGTATTCAGATCAATGAAATAACAGTCTCTGTCCATCTGATAGATTTGAGGTCATCAGGGTCAGATCAGGGTCAGATCAGGTTCACTACACACACACACACACACACATACGCATATATATATATATATATATATATATATATATATACCATCATAGTCCACTTCATCTAAGTGTTACTCTCTACCTGTGCAACATCCTGTCAGACAACCTGTGTAGTTTGTTAGTTATGTGCAATATATATCACGTCCATTTAAGCAAATATTATTACACACAACACAATCTGTCATTCTATCCTCCTCAACAGACTAACCTCCATTGGCATCTCAGGTACTCCGTTAGACTGGTACAAATCATATCTCTCTGACCGCACTCAATTCATTCAGCTCAAATCCTTTCGTTTCCAGTCTTCCCCCGTCTCCACGGGTGTCCCCCAAGGCTCTGTCCTCGGACCCCTCCTCTTCATCATTTACCTCCTTCCTCTAGGTCATATCTTCCGTAAATTTGGTGTCCATTTTCACTGTTATGCTGATGACACACAGCTCTACTTGTCAACAAAACCAAACTCCACCCACCCACCCTCCATCCTCACCGACTGTCTCAATGAGCTAAATCACTGGTTTTCTAACAACTTCCTACAACTAAACAGTAACAAAACAGAAATCATTCTTGTCGGTACCAAAAACTCTCTTTCAAAATCAGAAAATCTTCTCATCCCCCTTAACAACTCTCTGCTATCCCCCTCGCCTCAGGTCAAGAGTCTTGGTGTCATCCTCGACACCACTCTCTCCTTCACTTCACACATCAACAATGTCACTCGGTCTGCCTATTTCCATCTCTGAAATATTAACAGTCTCCGCCCTTCTCTCACACCCCGCTCCACAGCCATCCTTGTTCACAGTCTTGTGACTTCTCGGATTGACTACTGCAACTCCCTTCTTTATGGCCTCCCCAACAAATCTCTCCAGAAGCTACAATTGGTCCAGAACTCAGCTGCCCGTGTCATCACTCAAACCTCCTCCTATAACCACATCACTCCAGTCCTGCAGCAGCTCCACTGGCTCCCGGTTAAATCACGCATCGTCTTCAAAATTCTTCTTCTCACTTTCAAAGCCATCCACAACCTTTCCCCTCCGTACCTATCTGACCTCCTACACATCTCCATCCAGGCCATCACCTGCTCTGCCCCTCATCTCTGGAACTCTCTACCCCCTGACTTAAGAAACACCACCTCTCTTTCTCTATTCAAGACTGCTCTGAAAACACATCTCTTTAGACTCGCTTATCCTTAACTTTGCTCTATGTATTTTATATTCTTTATGCATTTTATATTCTGTATGTATTTTATATTCTTTATG